AGAAGGGGCTGGGTGCCTGCACCCAGAGGAAAAAGCAGCAGGGGTACGGATGCCGACTTTTCAAAGTGCCGGAGGGTGCTTGACCCCTGGCTCTGCCCCAGGCCCCGCACCCACGTCACCCCTTCCCCCAAGGCCCCACCCTGCCTCTTCCTACTCCAGCCCCACCCTGTCTCTTCCCGCCCAGTTCCTCCCCCGAGTGCACCGCATCCTTGCTCCTTCCCGCTCCCCCCCCCCAGCTTCCTGCATGCCGCGAAACAGCTGTTCACAGCGGGCGGGAGGGGCTGGGAGAGATGGGGAGGCGCTGATCCATGGGCCTGCCGGTGGGTGGGAGACACTAGGGGGTACTCCAGCCCCAGATCACCCACGGAGTTGGCACCTATGAGCAGGGGAGAAGAACTTTGTCTGCGTTTATTTTTCAAAGAATACATTTCAAAGGTTTTCTGACTGTAAAAGGGAATCAAAGGGACTCCTAGGTTATCCATTACTTAAGGCACAAAAGGGGCCAGCACTTTTGGAATCTGTGAAAGCTGGTTCCTCAACCATGTGGGTTGAGGATGCTGAGAACTGACTGTAGGTGAGAAATTGCCTGAGACTGTTAAGTTTTAGACACTAGAAAGTGTGTTTTCTTTTGTTTTATTTGTAACCACTTCCTGTTTCTATTATCTCCGCTCAGTATCACTTAAACCTCTGCTCTTTATTAATAAACTAATTTTATTAATTTTACCATAAAGTCACTCAGTGCTGTTATATTAAAGTGTGGTGTGCAGTCTCGGATGTGCCAACAGGCTAGGGTGTATTCTGTCTCTTTCGAGATGGTGGACTTGGTATTTCTGTGGTCATCTGGTGACAAGAGGTGGATGCTGCAGAGGAATGGTCCAAGGGGTTCGGGGACTGGGGCTGACTGAATGTTACTTGCAAGGCAAGGTGAAGACTGGCAGACTCTCGAGGAGTTTGCTGGTGAGGCAGACAGACCGGTGTGGCTGGGCCCTAACACACAGTTTCCGCTCCAGCAAAACTCTCCCTTGCTGAGGCAGATGAGTAAAATATTGGCTTATGAATCTGGGCACAGGGAGAAAGTGTCACAGTGGCGAATAGGTACAAGCAAATGAATGAAAAATCAGCCTGGGAGGTGCAAATTTTTCATAGCTGAAACCTTTCATGATCGTATAGACTTCCTATCTGATCATTGGCCAGCAGGGGTTATCTCCAGTTTAGCGTCCCTCTCTCCCTGCAGATGGGAAGATAATGAGGCAGTATTGGATTCTGTAAATCCGGCATGTTACATAGAAGGAAGGCAGGGATCCCTACTCCATGCTTGGGAAGCTACCTTGTCGCATCCCCCAGTCACCTACAGTGCTGAATGTAGTCACCCAGACTGGGGGACATGCCTCTCTTTGGTTTCTGGCAATGTAAGACCAAGCTCACTTTGCTGAGATGATTACGCTAGAAGAGCCTGTAGGAAGGACGTAGGTGACCCGACAGAATTTTGTTGTGATTTGCTGCACACTGCTAGTTTACACCTTCTAAAGGCGTTCACATTGCCAGCAGTCTCTCCTCATCTGAACTGTTGGCCCAAGCTTTGACATGTCTATGCTAGGCCCTACTAACTGCTTTGTGCATGGGACCCCTGAACCAGTGGAGAACCCCACTGACTTTTGGGGGTCCTGTGTGAGTGCAGGGATCTGCCCGTGTGAATCCAGCTAAAGGGACAAAGCCTAAGACTATACACACCTCTACCCCGATATAACGCTGTCCTTGGGAGCCAAAAAATCTTACCGCGTTATAGGTGAAACTGCGTTATATCGAACTTGCTTTGATCTGCTGGAGTGCACAGCCCCGCCCCCCTGGAGCACTGCTTTACCGCATTCTATCCAAATTCGTGTTATATCCGGTCGCATTATATCGGAGTAGAGGTGTACAAGCTAATGGCTAGGGAATACGTCTTAGTCTGTGCTTGGAAAGAGCTACGTAAATGAATAATAGTAAAAAATAACAAAGTGCTTTGAGACCATTGGTTAGAAGGAGCCATAGAAGTGCAAAATCATTATTGTAACATGAGTTAATGTCCACAGTGGGGGTTATAGACTGAAAAGAGAGCTGTTCAAATACTGGATAATACGATTTATCAAGTAAAATATTGTCCGGATCATGTATTATTCATCAAATATTGCACTCAACCAGCTGTAAAGTTGAGTAATGCAAAACATGGAATAGTGAATAGTTCCATTACTTGACAAATATTATCCATCCAGCTTTAACCAAGACCTAATTCTTATTTTCATCTAACTTCTGTTGACGTATTTTTATTACATGTCTTCAACCCGCCTTCAAAATGTACATGTTTGATTTTGGCTGCAGGCATGGAAGTGACTACTTGGGAGCATTGGAGCTATTTTTCCACTTGGAAACAAATTACATCCTGCATTCATTTGGAATCCTGCCCTATATGGAGGCAGCAGGTGCAGTTATTGCCTAGATGACAGCTTTGCTGATTCAGTGCTTCCTATGCTACAAGAGCTGGTAATTTCTCAGTTGATTCAGTGTTTCTTTTATGCATACAGGTTTATTACATGGCCACTGGCTGAATAGAAGATGACATCAGCATAGGATTATTCTAATGTACAAAGGTGTATTCTAGAGATAGGGTGATTGTAAATAGCACAGATCTGGCCATTTTGCCCTTCTTCTGCATCCCAAGCTAAATGGTAAGTGAATTTCAGGCACTTCAGATGGCTACCACCATGTGATGACAGCGGCCATTTTAAGTGTGGTCTTGCTTCGTCTCGCTGCCTGGCCTATGTTCTACCAATCTCCCTTACCGTGTCCTCTGCTGCTTCATTACTCCGACCACCCTTTCCAGGGCCTCATCTTGCGCCTTGGGCACCACCCACCCCACCTCCCTGATTCATCTTAGTATCCACTGGCTACATTATCTGGTATCTAATGAATCCCCAAAGATGGTTTAATCACATCCCTAGTAAATACGTATTACAGCAGCACATTGGTAAAGACAGAACCTTTTAAAAATTAGAGCCTTATTCTCATTTATATTAAGGCCCTGTGACACCACTCTAGCAGTATAAAGGGGCCTTACAATGGATATACAGTATATTTATACCCCCTTTAGGGTTCTGTTCCACTTCAAGAACAAGGTAAATGAGAATCAGGCCCTTTATCGGTTAATACTGGCATGATGGGAAAGTCTGATCCTTCTTCACAAGATGGCAGCAGAGGAAACTGAAGGACAAAGCTGTTCTCATGTCTCTCAGGTCCAGCTAACTGTAGTCGAGCTGGGATCTAGTTCACGTCCAGATTGCAGCTTGTCATCTTCTCCTGGGAAGTGGACGGAGTGCCCGCAGGTAGGGCCCTGTCTGACGCTAGATCCTGTGCCGTTTCATGCCAGCGAGTTCTGAGGGACAGACTTGCCCCCTTCCCCAGCAGCAGCTCCATTAAAAGGAAGTGATTTTTTTCCACAGCCAAGTGCAGCGGGGTTTTGTTTAGCCAGCCAGCTGCATTGATCTCAGCTCCATGGTCCAGAAGGTAATTAGCTACCTCGCTGTGCCCACGACAGGCAGCTCTGTGAAGCGGAGTCAGATTCAGACAGTCCCTAATGTTGGTAACAGCTCCTGTCTTAATCAGCAAGTGGACGAGGGCCAAGTGTCCCGCAGCTGCTGCCTTGTGGAGTGCCGTGCAGCCGTAGTGGTCCTTCATGTTCACATCAGCTTTGCTTTTCAGCAACAGTTCTGTAATCTGGGAAAAGAAAAAGAGAGTTCAGCTGTGTGGCCCCATGCAAACGAATGGGCATACGTTCCACCTTCTTGCAATCCGTTGGAATATTGAGCCCAAACCTGCAAAACCGTGAGCACCTCTTACGATCAGCTATTTTCATTTCCAAGTCAACAGGAGTTGAGGGCACTCAGCACCTCTTAGGAGTGGGTTGGCATCTTGTAGGACCGGGCCCACACTGCGCAACCTACAGCAATTTCAGTGGCCGTTTGCCGTCTCAGAGACCCTTGTGCCAATATAGAGCTCACTGCAGGATCAGGGCCTTAAAATGAGCATTACTTTTTGCTCTTCAAGTCTTGGCATGGGACAAGAAACTGGAAACTCCTTCTGAGGGCTTCAGTAGGGCCTAAGGTGACCAGATGTCCTGATTTTATAGGGACAGTCCTGATTTTGGGGTCTTTTTCTTATATAGGTTCCTATTACCCCCCACCTCCTGTCCCGATTTTTCACATTTGCTGTCTGGTCACCCTAGTAGGGCCAGGATTTCAGTTTTAGTGAATCAGTGTTTTTAGCAGTAAATGCAGCTTCCTCTTCTTTTTGACGTATTCTCAGCGAGGCATAGTCTAGTAGATTTATTTTTCTTGGTGAATATAAATTTCATAGATTTATAGATCCCATGGCCAGAAGGAACCATTGAGATCATCTAGTCTGATCTCCTGTGTAACACAGGCCACAGAACTCCCCAAAATAATTCCTAGAGCGTGCCGTGCCATTCCGTTTTCGTTTACAGGTTTCATTTGCGTTTTATCTTTGCATTTGCCTTTTAATTCTTCCGTTTCATTCTCCTATTTTAAAGTCACTCATTGAATTCTCCCCTGTGTTCTGAGAGCTGGGGGTCGGGGAGGGCAGGGGGGATTTCCAGCTGGTTTACTGTCCCTCCTTAGAAAAGGCAACTGTACAGGTAGTGCACCTGTACAAACTACCAATGGCACCCAAGCTATCGAATGCCATCACCAGAATATGCTCTGTCGTCAGCCAAGGTGCTGTTAGAAAGTAGAGTCCTTTACGTTTTGGTGATGTATCTTTTCCCTAAACATGCATAGAGAAGCCAAGCCCATTGTGCTATTGTGTCAGAGGTCATATAGTTCAATACGAGCCACCAGTGAATGGAGCTAGCTGCATCTATTCAGGCATATCTTTCCACTTTGTGGAACTTTGGAACCCCAGAGGACAATCAAGAGAGAAAGCGGTCAGTGTGGATAACCCAGACATAACATTCACAGCCAAACGGCTGGGTCTGAGTCAGCATCTTTGGTCATCTCGGATTGTCCCAAGTGAGCACTGGACTGGGACTCAGGAGACCTGTCTTCTATTCCCAGCTCTGCCACTGACCTGTGGGGAGACCTTGGGCAGGTCACGTCCCCCCGCCGTGCCTCAGTTTCCCCATCTGTAAAATGGGGATAATGATACAGACCTCTTCGTAAAGTGTTTTGAGATCTATGGATGAAAAGTGCTATGTAAGAGCTAAATATTCATATTATTATTGATAGACTTCAGTGGTCATCTCTCCCACCTTGCTGACCCTAATCAACTGATAATGAACCATTGCCATGAGCATATTGCAGAATTCAGTGCCTTAAGAAGAATGGATATTAGGGGCCTACCTCTTGATTGCCATTATTGGATGCAATGGCAAGTGCTGTTCTCCCCAGCCCATCCTGAGCATTGATGTTGGCACCCTTGGCTAGCAAGAACCTTACAGCATCACTTCTTCCCGTCTCTGCCGCGATGTGCAGTGCTGTGATGCCTCCGTTACTGCCCAGGTCTGGGGAGAGACCCTGGCAAATCAGCAAGTCCATAATATGCAGCTGGCTGTTCACAGTTGCCCAGTGCAGTGCCGTCCACCGGTTGTTGTCCCCGCTGGCTGGATCTGTGCCTTGCCGTAGGAGCAACTGCACAATGAGGGTGTGACCGCTGGCTGCTGCACAGTGAAGTGGGGTGAGGCCCCCTTTCGTCATGGCTGATGCTGGGGATCCCCGAGCCAGGAGAAACTCAGCCACTTGGGTATGGCCACTCCAAGAGGCATGGTGCAGCGGGGTGTAGTGTGCTCTGTCTGTGGCATGGACCACGGCTCCGCGCTGCACCAGGAACTTCACCAGCATGATGGACCCCTTCAGCGTGGCACTGTGTAAGGGCGTCCATCCATTCTCATCCCTGTGTGGGCACAAAAATGAAACCTCAGGGTGTTTATTTCAGCGCGAGACGGACAGAGAGAGAATGAGTGAGACAGAGCTGGGGTAGAGTGGGAGTAGCTGGCTCGAGGGGGCTCACCTGGTCTCTATCACTGCCCCCTGCCTCAGTAGCTGCTTCATCAGGTGGGCGTTGCCGTCCCAAGCTGCCAGGTGAAGCTCTCTCCAGCCCTGGTGCCCAGGGGCAGATGGTGAGTTATTCTCCATGAGCTGAATGCCAGATTCAGAGCTGTTCCCCATCGACTCTCCTTCCAGGGTCATCTCCTCACTCAGCTCCATCCACCTCCTCAGGAACTCGGCCTCTGCTCTCATTCCTCATTTGTTTTTTTCAACAAGCAACAAATAATCGGCTGAATATTAGTTCCATTAACTACACCCCCCCCATCACTGCAGAGGGGACTACGGGAATTAGGGAATTAAAACTAGGCTGCGGAGCGTCTACATCACAGGTTTCAATCTAATAGTAACCAAAAGCCATTGCTGTCCGTTGGCTTTTGTTGCTCTCCATGGGTATGTCTACACTGCAAAAAACCCCACAGTGGTGAGTCTCAGAGCGTGGGTCAACGGACTTGGGCTACGTGGCTAAAAATAGCCGTGTAGATGTTCTGACTCGGGCTGGAGCCTGGGCTCTGAGACCTTTCGCCCCTCACAAGGTTTCCGATCCAGCCCGAGCGAGAGCATTGACACGGCTATTTTTAGCCCTGTAGCCTGAGCCCCGCGAGCTCCAGTCAGTCGACCTGGGCTCTGAGATTCACAGTGGCCACTGCTGTCGGTTTCCACGGTCCCAGTGCAAAGGGTTAATGTTTCATGAACCTGTACTCAGCGCTCTGCTTTTGCAGCGGGGGCTCTTCCATACAGGGATTCAAGAGACGTACGGGGAGAATTTCTGGAGTTTCACAACACCCACCTCCTCAAAACCGCACAGACACTGCGGCGATATTTTCCCTCATAAAAAATAAACAAATAAAGCTAGTTCTTGTCTCTCAGAGCCAACCCCTTTTTAGATGGAAAGGACAGTCATTTTCCTTACCAATCATTTTCCTGCCACAGTCACGTGCGTAAGGTGGCTCCGGCGGGCGCGGCTGTACGCACAACTTGTTAGGGTAGTGCTGTTGGTCAGTGTGAGGCTTCACACGCTGGTTTGTTATCGCAGGGTCGTTTCCGTAGTGGTAGCCTTTGCAAGCTTTGGTTATCGCTGGGTTGTTCCTCGGGGCCGGCCCACTGGCATTCATTCAAAAAGAAAAATTCGACTAAGTATTGAAGCTGTTGGGGGGAAATAAAGCCCCTGCGTATAAGGTATCACACAGACCAGTAGGAGATAAAAATCAATGCAAGTGAAACGCGTCAGTCCCTCTGACCTTGAGACTGTCCCCTTAATGGAAGGGAAGCCTGTAGGCTCTGAAGAGCGCACTGTCCTCGTGGCTTTCTGTATTTAGTACTGTGCTCCGTCTGTGCTGTTTACTCGGTGACTAAATGGATTCGGGAGGAGGACCTGGTTGCTAATGGTTAATAGGATAATGTCTGTTTCCCTGCACACGTGTAACTTCTTTCAGCACTGCTGCCAACATTCCACTAGACAATGAGACACCAGGTCAGCAGAGTCACACAGCACCACTCCCTCGTAGTAAGACGCTCTCCAGGCAAAGACAACGACAGATCCAGTCCATCTGCTAGTTTGGGGGTCAGCTGCTCAGAGCTTTGGAAAGTGATTGTGGCTGTTGTGGACTGGAGTGACATTCACTAGAGCTTCACGTCTACCCAGCACAGTTAAACAAAGTAAATTCGGTGCTACTCTTAATAAACTGCAGACCTTCTGACAAGCACCAACATGTTCCCCCTCTCTGAGGCGCCTTGTGTTACATGATAACCTGCTTTTACTAGGCATTGGCAAAGCCTTTGATCTTCCAGGCAGGGTCAGGTGGCGAGTGCTTAGCTCCATGAAGTGCTCTCCTGAAGCATTAACTCTTGCGTCTATGGGGCATAAGAAGAATGAAAGAATATCTTGCCCTTCAGGTGCTGTTCATGCTGAAGGATCCTGGAAAAAATATCCTACAAACTATGGGCCTGATTTTCAGGTACACCTGCATCTCCCACCTGGAATTGTGGGTACCCAGCACCTCGGAAAATCAGGCCCTGTTTTCATTCATCACTTTGCCCACCACCGAAATAAGCCAGGGCTGGGGTGGAACATGGCGATTGTTTAGCAGCTCACAGCAATTCTACTACAAACGTTTGCCTTGAGCACAGGAAGAAGAATCCTGTATCCGGGTAACTGCGGGGGGAGCCCAGGTCAGCAGAGAGGAAGCCAAGAGGTTCTGATGAGCATCCATTTATTTGGGGTGATGGTACAAACAAAGCTTTTGAGGTCCATCCCCCACTAGAAAGACCTTAGTGTAATAAATGACCACATGCTAATTCTCCCCAGATGGTAGGAGGCACATAAAAGATGGTGTTTGTCCTCTATGTCCAGCCTTCCTTCCTATTATTTGCAGTAAGGCCCCTTCCACAGTTCCGGTTGTGTAAAGGGACCTTCCAGTGGGTGTGCATGTAGTTGACTCTGTCAGAGTTGTGTAAAGGGGCCTGTGTGTCCATGGAATCATAGAATGTCAGGGTTGGAAGGGACCTCAGGAGGTCATCTAGTCCAACCCGCTGCTCAAAGCAGGACCAATCCCCAGACAGATTTTTGCCCCAGATCCCTAAGTGGCCCCTCAAGGATTGAACTCACAACCCTGGGTTTAGCAGGCCAATGCTCAAACCACTGAGCAATCCCTCCCCCCATGATAAGCCATCCCCATGTTTTCAGTGGTTGGGGGAGTTTGGGAAGGTGGATCACATCCTCCAGAATGTCTCCTTGGCAGGGAGAGAAGGCTGTGAATAAACCAAAACCAAAGGCAGGAGCTGTAAGAACCCACAAGGTGGTGCTGTCGCTATAAAGACATTTGAGAAATTGTTCTCCCACCAGTAGTGCTCTGGGTGGCTCCGGGGTCGGTGAGAGAAGTTCATGTTTACTGCACCAACTACAGCATCTAATATCTCCTGGCAGGAGACTCTTCCACAGGTAGTACTTAGCAAGACTTCTCTCCCACTTGCTAAGACGGTCTTACCAGGGCTGGGGAAAGCTGAGAAATTGGAGGTGTTGTGAACCTCTCATCCTGTTTTTTGAGGTTTGCAAAGCTGTTTTGATTTCTAGATGATTCATTTGAACCCATATTGTTTTCCAAGCAGAATTCAATTTGAAAACGACAATCTCCTCCCAGCTCCCTATGGGCTAAATTCTCATTTACATTGAGGGGAATCTGGAATCACTCCACTGGATACACTGAAGTTGCTCTGGATTTATGCCAATGTAACTGAGATCACAGTTTGAGCCAACATACTTTCTAGAGCCAGAGAAGGCTGTGCTATGCATTAGAAAGAGAAGAGCTCCCAATAAACTAGGCCAGCGCATGCGGGTGCCCAATATTAGAGGTGTGGCTGGTAAGCAGGCTTAATTTATGGGATCCAATTTCACTGATTTGCTGGGACATACTGGATTGGGTATTACACTCCGTTCAATACTGTGATGCTTGTTAAAAAGTGTTATGTCCATTATTAAATACTAATCACAGTTGTACCGTGTTCTCATACTGGCAACCTCTTCCTGGCAGCAGAGAATCTGACCCTAAATGTCCTCTTGCATTTTTAGGAAACCAAACACAACCACCTCATTATTAATATTGTTTAACAGAACCCAGGGTCCATGCAGGCTCCAGGCTCCCCTGGGCTAGGGGCCATACAAACACAGAGAAAGACTCTGGGCCTCGCCCCAGACTGACTAGCAACAAAAGTGAAACTGACCAGTCAGTCTTCAGAGTCAGGTATTTCAAATGTGCACATACTTCAGTACAGGGGTTTATGCACCTGCACTGGAGTTCGTGGCCTCTCAAGTTCATCATGTGCAAAATCTGACCCTAATCCCCCAAGGTGAATGAGATGAAAAAAGTGAACAACCAGCATAAATAGTGAAACGTCCATGAGATTTTTAAAAATCCATTTTTATAACTGCAGGTATTCTTAGTAACAGGCAAGGACTGCAATCTTAAAGCAGATGACATTTCTCTTGACAGCATCCTTCTAGTTATCATAATAAAAAGAGCATTAAGAGCATGAATGTCAGCTGACTGTTGTGAAATAAACCTTCCTGTCACAATCCATCAAGCAAGAAAGGTTCAGCCTCTCTGTTCTTTGCTATTTGCAGTCACTCGATGCAGGTGCACTGGGTCTGTTTATTTAATTATTTATCTATTGGTGGTGGAAGTACATATTAGTATTATACTACATTGGCCAAGGTCAAAGCCGCTTATCTACATTAAAATATCCTAAGAATGCTAATAAGTTAGATGGAATCTGTCAATCTTCGAATGTGTTTCCATTAATTTATTCTGGGTCGGTTTATCTACATCAATGATTCCCTTGTCAGCTAGGAAACCTGAAACCTTTAGGAAACACAAATGCAATTCACCAGGACTTATTTGAAATGCTAACCGATAGTTAGCTGGGAACATAGTTCAATAATGTGTCTACCTTTGAAACAAAATCAATGTTACTCAGAAGGGTTTTAATGTGGGCTGGTTTTTAATGCTATGTTTTTAATATATAAAATGTAGTTGGAGGGTTCATTGGATCCCAAAGGACAGATTTGGAGCTGGTGTAAACCAGACGCCGCTGGAGCTATGTTGTTTTACACCGGCTGAGGATTTGGCCCACGGTGCCCATCTGGGAGCAAAGCAGTCGCTGCAGTTGGATGAAATCTACAAGAAAAATAAACTCCCTTTTTGTCCTGTTTTTCCTACTCCCGACAGTTTACCAAGTTTAGGGGCTGCCGGGACAGATAAAATTAAATCCAGCAGAAAGGCGGAAAAGGGGAAGCCCTAAACTCTGCTGTTTTGGGACTGCAAATGTTGTAGAAGCCAAAATAAAAAGAGCCAGGTTGACTGGCATGCTCCTACAGTTTACAGGATCAGGGCCCTAGCTGGTAGAGATTTTAAAGGCATTGCCGTTTGACCCAGTTGTCTGATATGAATGGTGGAAAATGGCTGAGAAATAAAATGAGAACATTGCCCAAAACTCCAACTGAGGCATTATGTTCACCTTGTTTTCTCCCACACATTTGTACTTCCTGGTTCCATCTGGGACAAGAAGTATCACAGCACAGGCTGTCCTAGTATTTCAGTGTTGCCAACCACAAGCATTTGAAAATCATGAGTCAGGTCCCCAATTAATCATGAGATTGAATTAACAATCTGAGATTTGGGGGTTCTTCTTCTTAGCTTTCTAGTTCTTGAGCCTTAAGTTGCACTCGGGCCACATTTTCAAGCTTTGTTCTCCATCAGGAGGGCTAGAAACTTACTTTTTTAAAATGAAACCTGAGATTCTCATGAAATCACTTGACTCCAGGAGCTGGCACTTGAAGAAAAATATCAAGTATCATGAGATTGGCAATAAAATCGTGAGAGCTGTCAACACTGATTTCTGGTCCAGCTTTGCAGAACCACGCTATTTTAATGGTTCTGAGAAATGTCCTGTCGTTTGGATGCCTCTTCAATCCAAACTTCCAAGCAATTTGAAAATCACATTCCAGCAGCCCTGACCAAGCAACCTCCGTAGGGCGAGGCATGTGATCAACAATAATGGTGCTGGTGGAAATTGAGCCCAAGTCTGGGTTTATGTTTGCATACCAGCAGCGGGCATGCCTGTTCTCCGTTCACCACATGCTGCGAATTACTGCGGTTGGCTCAGCACAGGGATGCGGATTGCTGAATTTCAGCCAATGTACACTTTCTTCTTCGTTCGCGGCAACGCAGAGTCTATCATGCGTCCTCCCTCGCCTGACACAGTGGGCCCCTTTGTGCTGTCACTGACACCTGTGCAAAGGGAGTGCCAGGAAGAAACCAGACTTCTCCACTCGCACCCGGGGCAGGATTGTACACCCGCTTTGCACCGCTGGGAATGAAAACAGAAAGGGGCGTGGAGTCTCAGGTCCCGTAACATGACAGAATCTTCCCAGGGAGCTTCCGTAGGGGCCAGTCCTGCAGTCTTCTCTCAGATGAAACTCTCATTGGCTTGACTGAGCGTAAGAACGGAGAAAGAACTGCAGGACTGAATCCTTGGCTATCAGTGGTGGCAAAGCCCTATTAGGCCATTTACCTTTCAGTTGAGACATAAAGCCAAGGTGCGCTGACAAGCAGCTGCTGCGTTGTGCCCTAGAGGTGGCTGCATTCCAGAACTGGGTGGAAGCGATCCCAGTGCATGCTTTGCACAATCAGTGTGTAGGGGGGTTGGGCCCCGTCTCTGTACAAACACCCAGTCATCACCATCATGGCTTGGTGTCGTTATCCTGAAACTTCACTCCTCGGGGGGTGAAACAGACGTGCAGCTTGGAGGTTTATATCACACTTGCTCCTAGTGAACTTTCCCTTGGCATTTAGTGCTGAACCTCCCTTTGCTCAATTCAGGCCCATTCTTCCCACCAGATTGTTGCCTTGCGATGACTTGGGCACTTTGCTCTGAAGATATTCAGACACGGCGTGCCTCTCTGTCGGGCGAAGAGGACTCCAGTCACACAGCAAAAGCTTTTTGAACGGTAAAAGCAGGAACTGAAACCTACACACGTTAATCTCATTGCAACGGCCTGCTGCAGCCGCCGTCCTGATGGACGGACTCTGCATCTCCATGAATATTTATTTCCCTTTATTATTCTTGAAATGTATTTATTGATGGAAGGAACTGGGATGAACTTTCACCCAGTGTCACTGGTGTATTTCATCAGGGCTGGAGACAAGGCGAGGCGCTTGGAGTGACGACAGGTAGCATGCATGGGAATAGCATAGGGAAGTACTGAAGGGCCAGGTGAATGAGCAGCTCCAATGAGGCCGGGGGAGACAAGCAAATGCTTCAAGTTGCACTGATGAGCTGTCGACAAGTTTACTCCAGTTCATCCACAGGAGGAACAAGGAAGGAGCCAGGGAATGGAATAGAAGGCACACACAGGCCCCAATTCCCCTTTTGCTTATCTCACTGGAACTCCATGGACTTCAGGGGAGCTGCTCCTGATTTACACCGGAGTGGGAGGAGTGGCCCAGTGTTTTGTAAACCTTCTGCATTGACAACAGTGGGCATGATCAGGCCCGGAATGTGTGATGGAGAGGGGCGGGGAAGAGCAGGTTTAGTTCTGTTTTCAAGTGAGTAGCCTGGCAACCAGAAATATATTTCCACCCTGTATGTTTACAAAGCCAGTGGGGCAAAGCCAGGGCCCTGTTAGACGTGGTCTAAGGATGGGCAGAATGCCCTTTCCCCCATGTTTGGATTGTGCAGGGAGTGTGTGGGAGGGCGATAAAGCATTGGTAAGGGGAATCAGGGGCATGGCCCTGGGCAGGAAGTATTTTGATAACCCTGTGAAGCTGGGTTCATTCGAAAGACAAACCAAACAGCTAGTCGTTGGCAGCCTGGAGTAGCTTGATTCAGATGGATCCGTGGTGATCTTTTCCCAGAATCAAAGGGAGAGAGGCCAACACTGCCACCCCTATAGGGCAGCTTGGCATAAATGTCCACTAATACCTCCTCAGAAGTTGCTGTGCACCACAGCCCAGCTGTGGC